GAGTTAGGTGTCTGGTGGAGTGGAGTTGATCGACCACGCCAAGCCTTTGACAATCGCGTTGTCTGTGTGTATGACCCAGCATCGTGCTTTGGCATGGCTAACGGCGCCGTGGTGTCGGAGAAGCAAGTTCATCGTTTGCTCCGCGCCGCCGCTAGTAAATTTGGCGCCTTGACCCCAGGCAAGTAGGTTGATGATGAGTGAAGGTGTGTTTTTTGTTGCGAGGTTCCAAGTGTTGTGGAGAATGCGGGCATGTTCGGCGTTGTCATGTTGTGGCTGTTGTGTGATGCGCGCGGCCTGGGCAAAGAACCCAGGGTTGTTGGGGAAGTGGAGGGTGCTGGGCAGGAAACGGCCCTGTTGGAGGATGTTGGTGATGTTGCCGAGAGGGCCTGTGTGGCCGGCGTTGATGTGGACCATTTCTGGTGTGGTGGAAGTCGCACGTGTCGCTGGTGGTGGGAAACTCCGAGTTGCTTTTTGCACAAGGCTGGGGATGGTAACGCAATGGTATTGATAAATGTCGTGGGTGTTGGCAGTGTCGTTCCATTTGATGTGAGTGATTTGTCTGAAATCTGAGATGTCTTTGTAAGTAAGGCCGCTGTCAGGTAACAGGCTGGCGACATAAGTGTGTTGGGGTTTGTTAGGTGCCTCAAGCTGATCAGCATGATAATCAAGCCAGAGTTCCAGTTGTTCTTGTGGGGTGCGTTGTTGGAACTGTGGGGATGGTCGCCATGGTTTGGTAGGCCTGCGAAGAGCTGGAATGTTGGGATAGCTGGTTTGTGATTGATTGGTGACAGCATCTTGTTGTAGTGAGTCGTTGTTGGGGAGAAGTGAAATGGGTTGTCTGGAGCGTGACTGGCTGTAGGAGTATGAGGAGTATGTTGAGGAAGGTGATCGCGAGCGGTGGTGTGTCGCGATGAATGGTGCCTGTGGGTGGCGCTGTGCTGCGTTGTGGTGTGCGTTGTGCGGTGGCGGCAAGGGCGTCTGCCTCTAGTGTGATGCCGGTGGCGACGGCGATGGTGTCGGCGATGGCCGCGGCCACGGTGACGGGAGCGTTGGGTGGTGGAGGTGGTTGTGGTGCTGAGGTAAGTGGGTGAGCAGGTGGCGGATCTGAGATGCGTGTATCAGATTGAATTGAACCTGCTGGAGTAGAAGGTGGAGGTGTGTTCGATAGAGGTAGAGGAGTTGAAGAGGTTTGGTCGGCGGTTGTGATAGTGCGGTCTGCTTGTGCTGAAGGCGCTGTAGAGGCTGGTGATTGGAGACCAGCAGTGGCTGCAGTGGGAGGTGTCGGTGCGGCTGCAACGGGTGAAGGGTCAGGGGGGCCGAGGGAATCGGGCCTGGCTGAACCTGGCCTGGTGGAGCATGACCCTGTTGGGTGACTGGCGGAAAGACCGAAAAGGGTTGCCAGACTCCCTGGCTGTAGTCCCATTGCGTTGGTGCTGGCTGGCATGCTTGCTGTGGGGCTGGTTGAGTGTGCGCAGCTGGTGCTGGTTGTGGGGGAATCATGGTGGGGGACTGTGATGGTGGAGGTTCCTGCGGAGGTAGTGAATAGGGAAATGGAATGGTGTGATGATGTGGTAGCTGAGGCAAAAGCTGTGGTTGGATTGGAAATGTCGGTGCTGTTGTAGGTGGTGGTTGATGTGTCAAGTATGGATATGGCCACGGGTATTGCGTTGGGACTGTGTTCGTAGTAGCAGCAGTCTCCGCCAAATGGCGCCCGCGCAGCGCGATAGCAGCAAATGAAAGTTGAAAAGGTCTGAAAAAGTGAGTGTGAAATGGCGTGAAGTGAAACGCTGTAAGTAGTGAGTCCAATGTGTGGAAAATTCTGAGGTGATAGATTGACTGTGAAGCGACTGTACACACTTGAAACTCAAAAGTCGGCTGCGTATCGAAAGGAAACATGCACTGAAGTGACATGCTGAATGTTCAGTACGTTGGGAGGACAATCGCCGTATTAGCCCGGCGGCTCAAAAGGCAGTGAATTCAAGGTTGACGAAAGCAGTTAGGAGAATCCAAGGTTTGGTGAAAACGATCAAGGCTGTTACACGATTTCCGGCATGAATACGGCGCCTCCTTGCGGAGGATCACACCCAGCACCCAAGTGGGACGGCTGAGCGGTTCACACTCTGACATTGGTTTGCTGTTAATTCAATTCCCACGTTGAGAAGGAAGGTGAGGGAAAGGCAAGGCGAAAGGTCCAAAGATTTGAAGATGTTTGAACAAATGGTTTTCGCGCATTTGCAAGTCACGAGAACAGCGGTGTCGAGCAATCAGCGCACCTGCACATCTGCGGTGGGAAAAGGTTTTGGGGTCTATCATGTAAGGACCATGGAATCAAACAAGGAAAGATTGGAGTCACAGCTTGGTCAAAGGTTGTAGCAGGTACACATCAGGACGTCTCCCGATGCATCACCAGAGAATGTGGACGTCTTCGTTGGCAGTGATTCCACAAACTCTGTCACTGCCCCCTGCTGTGGTGTCAGAACAAAGCACAGGACCCTTTGGAACAGGGGTTGACGCACACACACACACACCACGCCGATATCGGCGCTCAAGTGAGGTACTAGCCACATAACAAGCCTTAGAAAGAAAGACAAAGAAAAGAGCAAATGAAGAGGGGATTGCCGTTACTGGCGCTCAAGTAAAGCCGTAATCGGCGCTCCTTTGACTGACAGGCACCTGGAACCTGAAGAAAGGCCTCAAGAAAACGAAAAGCAACAGCAGGAAAGAAAAATCAAACAGACCAAAAGAGAAAAACCCTTCACGTGGTTTCACTCTCCTCACAACGCCTATGACTACGTAGCCGAATGTGAGAATCCGTTCTGGAAATTGATCACAGTGAGCCCTGCGGCATTCAATCAGCTGTCTCGTGCAAAACCGTGAGCCAGTGAGATTCCGAGAGAAGTTCACGAGAGAAAGACGAAGCGATCAGTGGGGGTCCCCCAGTATCTGGGTCTATGCGCCCCTCGGAGGGGGATCACACCACAGCCCGCAGTGGGACTCTGTGGCGACACACACTTAGCTTGGGGCTCGCAAGAGCTAAGTCGGTTGACGAAGTTCCAGAAACTTGTTACTGACTACCTAGCACTCTAGTTACTGAATACCTAGCCCTTGACTTGCAGAACGGTAAGGTGAAAAGGTCCGCGACAACTGAAGTGTTTCAACATCTGCGTGTTTCATGGTGCAAGTTCGAAGTTCCAGACACTAGTTACTGACTAGCTAGCACTCTAGTTACTGAATACCTAGCCCTTGACTTGCAGAACGGTAAGGTGAAAAGGTCCGCGACAACTGAAATGTTTCAACATCTGCATGTTTCATGGTTATGGTTGAGCAGTTTTAAAAGTGGAGGTGCGTTTACACGGGTCCCAGAGGTCTTCGTTGGCCACCGCTCCTTTGGGCCCCCGGTGGCCCCCTGCTGCTAAAAATTGGTTTTAAATATTTGACAATGTGTGCAGCCTTAGAAACAGGCTTTGACACACACACACACACACACACACACGCTTGGCTCCTGCACTTGCAAAAGTAAATCTGGGTAGCATTGGGAGTCGGGCAACTGCAGAATTATTTGAGATGTATTCTTGAAACATGGAATTAAGCAAGCCCCAAAGATCAGGGTGCACCGGGGGCGACGGCTTACTCCACCCTGTGCAAACAGATTTGTCTGAAAGAACAACCTTTGCAACACCCTGTGTTAACGACAAAAGTGTAAGCAAACCTGCCAAATGCGCTCGCAAAGGTTTCTGCTGCCTGTCACAGAATCTATGCAACATGGACTGGGATGTGACAAGTCAAAGGCAGCGATTGCATAGCAGGCTATTTGGGCTCTGGAGTCGGAAATCTGCGTGCGGCTTGCACTGATCACGCAGACCACTTCAGGCCCAACACTTAAGGCGTCCAATTGCTCCCAACACCCATTTCCCTGGACAGCAACCTTCTCACCACGCGTTTGGGGGGGGAAACATGGTGCAAGGCACAATGGCGCGAACCCAAAAGCTTTGTTGTCTTAGACATTACCTTGTCAAGAACCTTTCTCAATATTCAAGCTCACAGCGCCCTTGAGAAGGACATTGGAAATAGCCAGCCACACGACTCCCTTAGCGAAACAGCAGGTTTGTTGCTTAAAACAGCAAGGTGGAGGTACCAAAACGAAAACACGACCCATTTGGCGGACAATGCCCTGACAAGACATGTCACAAATGCGACCGGACAAGGTGTGGAGCTTGACAAGGCGGACGAGGCCTGGAGACGGCAGGGGAACCCATCAAGGCAAGACAGTGCGACAAACCTAGCAGACAAGGCCCGCTTGGACAAGGCGCAAGGCAAGACGGAAGTGCGACACACCTACCTGGCAATGGGAACCGTAGCAGCTGTGTAGGGAAAAATTTATTCCCAAGGCTTTTTATTAGACCGTCAAACATGTCTTATGGCGTTCTTTGTAGCAGCATGCGGAACTATCTTCTTGCACATCCTCATTAAGCTGCGCCTCTTGATGGACCAATTTGACGGCTTGACTTTTTTGACAAACTCCCACAAAACCAATGCTTCCAGAAAACTCCTGTCAACCAACAGACACGGCAGCCCATGGCCTTTCCATGAGTTGCCAAAAAACAATCTGAAAGAAAGGCACGATGAAGCCTGCCACACGAACAAAGTGAAACCCAGAAACTAAAATAAGCAGAATTGAAGCCCAGAAACATCACAGAATCAGAACAGAAGCTAGATATGTGCAGAATGGACACCAGAAGGCGAACAAAGAAAATTGATGACGCAAAACGACAATGCGGGACCTGAAACCTGCATTTCCCGCTGGCGTGATCAAGTGGCAGTTTTTGCCCATCCGTTTCGTAAACCTGATGTCAAGATAAAAAGAAATGCATCCCGTTCTTGAGCCAAACTCGCAACGTGTTGCGACCAATGCTGGAGGGTGTGTAGCAGGTGCACAGATCAAGCGTATTTGTGTAGAAGATTTACTGTGGCACAGCTGTGCAAGACTTGTGAGCTTGAAGGATCTATCAGCGGATGTTTCTGAATTCCTAAACCTGCCTGCGGACGCATTGCTTGCGGCAACAGTGTCACGCATCGAGGATTATGGTATTTTTGTGATGGTTCGTCCTCCCAGTGGTGCTGTCCCAGTACAAGGTGTGGGTACGAGCTGTCGCTTTGTCGCTGCTGAAGCAGGATAAACATGTGTTGTTTTTCTTAGGCTTCCTACCAACTACACTACACTCATAGAGAGCTAAACTTGAAGAGCTGTTTGCCCCTGAGGCTTCGTACACGTCTCCGAGATGAAAGAAGGTTTCGTAGAGCATCCTGCCAATGAGGTGGAGATCGGACAGGAGTTGACAGTGAGCCTCCTACGCGTGGATCGCAAATTTGGAAGGTTACGACTTTCGATGAAGTTGCCTGAAGTGGAGGGTTACTGAGGAGTTGGGTACGTAGATGTGCGAATGCTCAAGCATGTTATTGCTTTGACAAGGCACAAAATTATGTGCTCCTTTCTTGTCTCTTTCCCGTCTGATTCTGCAATTTAGATTTGCAAACATAGCCTAAGCCTAACAGCACTGTGATTGATTCTCTCTTGCTCGGCTGTGGTGCAGCCCTTGTCTCAAGAGGTAGGCTTGGCAGTGATTGATGTGCACTTGTGAGAGCATTTGCTATCGAATCTTATCGAATCTTATAATTACAGAGATTTTGAGCCTGTTTGCAATTATCGTTATTCATGCAAAACAAACACAAACGAGTCCTTCCTACTAGCTTAAAGTTGTATCGCCATGAGTCCGTGGATGCGATTACGCAGCTGCAATGGCACGCTTCGTAGCCTTCGCATCCATGGAATTCCTGGAAGGTTTCTTCAACTGCGGATGGTGGCGGAAGCTCCACAGCGCGCAGGGGAGCACAAGGACTCTGTGCACAACATTGGTGCGGGGCCCGGTGCCAAAGACATGGACCTAGCAGCATGGTCGAAGCTGAAGAATTCTGACGTCGGTGCGCCACTCTCATGGCGTCTTACAGAGATCGGTGCTTGGAGGCCTAATCCGCAGCCGAAGTTTGAGGTGGAGACTGTCCCAGGTTTGTCCCCAGGCGTCCCAGCGGCAGTTGTACATGGTGTCCTCTCCGAGAAGGAATGCCAAGAGCTTATCGCTGCCTTTCCTTCTGGTGGCAAAGGCTACATGCCCGGCCAGCGTGTTGCTGAGCTGTACCGCGATCGAAGGGTGAAATCACGTAGCTTGGTGAGGGATGAGTTGCTGGCAAAGATCCTCCAAGAGCGGCTACAATCAGTCTTGCCCCACAATCTTGATGGTGGACGCTTGTTTGGTGTCAATCCCAACTTCCGCTTCGTTCACTACGACACTGGGGGTCGGCACTCAACGCATATTGATGGCAGGGAGCCGGTCATGCCTGAACAGGATGAAGCTGGAGACGGCTGGGTGCAGTCACGCATGACACTACAAATCTACCTCAACAGCCACGGCAAGGATTTTCGTGGAGGCGGGGTTGGAAGCCCCAAAGACGACACCATCCTTTCCATTCCAGAATCAAGAAGTCCTTCTTTTCTCTCTCACATGTGTCCGTCGTTCCCTTTTAGTCTGTATTCGCAGGAGCCTCATGGCATGTGTGGGGTGTAGGACAATGGCACTAGTGAAACTTCTACAGCAAATATGGCATTCCGTACTCGCTCACCCGAATCTTGGCAGATCAGCAACAACAACCATGTTAACGTGTAAAAGTTGATTGCAGAAAGAAGCGTGTGTAAACAGAATGGAATCAGGAAGTGCTCAATGTCGGGCACCTTGCCATCCATATTTTTTGATTCTTTTTGGCATGGGCTTTCACCCTTGTAGAAGCTCAGATGTGAGAGTATGAGTTCGGGCTTTGCAGGATGTGTTAATTTCATTGCTGGCCTCAAAAACAAATTTGCAGGTGAGTTTGCCATCGTGGACGCAGATGACAGCAGCGAAGATGGTCGAGTCAAACACTTGATCAAACCTCAAGCAGGCGACGTCGTCTTGTTCTATCAAGAAAGATTGAACCCACCATCAGAGTATCCCCCCTACGAGCTACAGCATCAAGCAAATGACGTGACTGAAGGAGAGAAATACGCTTGTCGCACAATGGTGGATTACATTTTTCCTGATCAACAAACCGCCCACCTTAGCAATGTCAAGGATGACTACATGTCTCGGAGATCTGTCTTGGCCATAGGCAATACCATCATGGACACAATGTTGACAGTGAGCCACATTCCAGTAGATGAAAAAATCAGTGTGAAGACAAAGAAGACCTATGTCGGAGGACAAGGTGCAAATGCTGCCCAGGCTCTAGCGCTTCTGGGTGCAAATGTGTCATTCATGACTCGTTTAGGAGATGACCCCGAGGGCCATACCGCCATGAATGCCTACGAAAAGTTGGGAATGGACTTAACTCACAAGGTAGTTGTTCCTGGAGCTCACACCAGTGTTGCAGCTGTCCTTGTTGCGACTGACAAGGCACATCATCGTAGCTGTTTGATCTACGATGATCCCAAGCTGCTGGGCTCACCTACCTCTGAGCCCGTGGATGCGGCTCTCCATCGCCTCAGCTCGGGGCACTTTGATGCGGTTTACACAGATGGGTGGCAGATAGACTTGGCTCTGCCGATAGCACGAGCTGCCAAGAAGCTCTCTGTCCCCATTGTAGCAGATATCGAAGCTCTGACAGCGGAAACACGTGAATTGGCAGATTTGGCCACTGTACTAATCGCAGGTGCCTCAGTGATAAAGGCCTTGGCAGGTCAGGATGATGTGAGACACGCAGTACTGAGCCTTGTGAATCGGTGTCCAGGTCGTGTGGTTGTCGCCACTGAAGGTGAGGGAGGCTCGTATGGTGCTGCCCACGGTGAGGAGGTGATCTATGTTCCTGCACTGGAGGTGGATGTGCAGGATACTACTGGGGCAGGTGATTCATACCATGCTGGCTACATGATGGCGTTCTTGAAAGGACGGAGTGTGGCTGACTGCATGTCTTTTGCCACCAAAGTGGCAGCGGCCAAATGCGAGACTCCAGGCTCCTCTTTAACCCGTGATGCATTAGAAAGATTCGGCCTGTTGGATGGGAAGCAGCTTGCTGCCATTCCTTGACGTTCACAGAAAGTAGTTCACCAACAGGTTGAGCAGTGACACATGTTTGCAACATGTTTGTACAGTGCTATTTTGCTGTAAAGTTTCAGTGTCAGAACATTGTGGTTGTGGCTCACTTGCTCTTAGACACAGACTTGCAAGCCATTTCCACACTGGTGGGCAGAAATAACCACTTGTTCCGAGCGGCGCTGCGAAAACAGTTGCAATAGCTTCCGTGCTTTTGGGCACTTAATGCCTTTTGTGCAACCATGCTGTGTGACACCTTTAATGAAGGCATTGCATGTGTGACATCGCATGCTGCAAGTATCGAGGCAAGCAAGCTTCAATCCAAGGTCCAAGGGAAGTCTTACTTGGAGGCTTTTTCATCACTTCTAGAAAAGAACACCGCTTGATGTTCAAGCCCAGTTCTCTTTCAGTACCAGGGAGCTTCTTGGCAGAGCAGAGCAGGAAAGGAACACGGAATTCGCGAAAGAGCTTTCACACCAAAACAATACTGAAGCAATCCCTTTGCAGCCAGGGGAAGTTTGCCCAATCTGTCCTGTGCAGCTTCTTTTAATGCTCAAATTTTGGGTCCATTTTGAGGCCGTTTTGTTTGCCTCATGCGACACAGCCTCGGGCCGTTGATGTCTCCGGTGTTGTTGATGTTAATACTGGCAGCGGGTTTGGCCACCGCACAACCATCATACTATGATGCAGGTGTCTCTGCATGTGTACCTGGAGCCGGTTATGACCATTTCCCGTTTCTTGCGACATTATTGTGGCGTGGGAATGCATTCTATAGTGTAATATAATGAAGTTGATTTTGAGCAAACCAAGTGGGTCATTGAGTCATTGGGCCATGAGATGCAACAAGGCCGTTTCCCTCATTTTACACTTGAAAAGGCGCAGGGACACTTGACTCTGCACATGTTCATGTGCATATCCACAGATAGCCGAGGTACCTTCCACTCATAGTGATTATTTAATGGGACCGTATTGTGATCCTGCGACTTCTGGTGACCGACTATTGGCTCCGTATCAATTCCGCCCCTGGTTTTACTCTTTATTGGGTCAAGTTATATCCACATTTGGGATGATTTACCGGACAGACTTCGAACAGCAATGCAGCAGAAGACAAGATTGCATTGCAATCCCTTTGGTAATGAAGATGGATACTGATGTACACACTTAGACTCATAGTTCCGGTGAAGGTAATGTCCAGTGGATTTCAGTTACGCAGTTCCCTTGACTGGTTAATTCGTGCAAACGGCAAGAACGCTGGGTCCGTCAAATTGTAGATGTTTGAAGAAATGCTATGGTGAAGCGTCGGCATACATGAAATGCTGAAGCAGCAGCGCACCAGCAGTTTACAGGGAAAAGTCGGGTAACAGCTTGTCAACACCACAAATCGCAGGTACGTCACTGGACGTCTCCAGTGATACCGCAGGGAGCTTTGTTAAGTGGAGCTTTGCAGGCCTGCTCCACTCCCCTGCTGGAAGAGATACATTTGGTAAACAGAAAGGAACCCTTGGGGACGGGGTGTGGCACAGACACACACATGGCCGCAGGGCGGACTGGCTCTGAAGAGGTAACACTGCAGTAGACAGCTTGGGAAATACTTAGGTTCTAGATTTTACTTAACCCTTGACCAAAAGGGGGTTACGCACCTAACAAGCCTTTAGAGAAGAGTCAGACCTAGAAAGAGAAGCAAACAGGCAGGAGAGAAAGAAACGAAGCCGAGGGGTAGAGCAACAAAACAAGCCTGAAAAGATACCTAACAAACGAAGAAAGCCGCAAGAGAGAAAAAGGGAGGGGGTGGGGTGGGGTAAAAAATTGTGAATTCCATGCAACTAAAGGTCACGCAGCATGACGAATGTGGTATGTGCGAGGTATTCAGTCATGGATTTGCCGTAGGCCCGGCGGCATGGTGAACAGTTGATATTGAAAGTCCGCTGTTCAGGAAATGGCTTCAAGCCAACAATTCAGTGAGTGATTTCCGGACTGGCTTCGGCGCCCCTTGCGGGGATCACACTGCACACCCAAGTCGGAAGATGCAGCAAGTCACTTAGACTCATTGTTCCGGTCAAGGAACGTAATGTCCAGTGCATTTCAGTTACGCAGTTCCCTTGACTGGTTTCGGCTTATGCTGAAGCAGCAGCGCGCCAGCAGTTTACAGGGAAAAGTCGGGTAACAGCTTGTCAACACCACAAATCGCAGGTACGTCACCGGGACGTCTCCAATGATATCCTTAGGACACTGCAGAGAACTTTGTTAAGTGGAGCTCTGCAGGCCTGCTCCACTCCCCTGCTGGAAGGGATACATTCGGTAAACAGAATGGAACCCCTGGGGACGGGGTGTGGCACACACACACACATGCAACTGACGCGGAGCGGCCAGCCAGCATGTTCTCCGCTAGCCGCTAGTGCCTAAAATATGATGCAACATAGCAAAACGTCGTGTTGTGATAGGTTTTCTGCTCCTGTCCTCTTGGGTGTCTCCTCACGAAACCTGGAAAGAAGGGACAGGCCCCTGCGAACTCCATGTCCTAGACCCGAAAACTGAGGTTTTGCAACACATCCATGCCTCTTGCGGATCGTGTGCACGATTTGATTTCCCGCATTCCAGATGGTGTCAAGCCCAACTTGTTGACAGCTCGGGGGCACTTGAAGAGTCGAGGGAGACAAGCTTTGCCAGAGCTTGGAGTGCCCTCCTACTATTGGGGGACTAATTGCCGCTTGCGCTATGCTTGATCCAGGTTGTGTAGACACATTCATTGCTACTTTGAATTTTGAAGTTCATCCCATTTCAGGACGATAAACACGACTGACATGAACTGACCACTATACAACCGGTGCCTTGTATACAGTACAATTACTGTATAGCAATCCTCCTATACATACGACCACCCTGCCAAGAAGATGGAAATGGACATTCGCGCAAGACATGCTTCTCGGAATAGTTGATTGAGGCCACCAACCAGGTTAAATTTATATGGATGAGATATTAAGCCTCATGTAAAGTAATTCATGACGCATTTGCTGGTTTGAATTGATGGCGCTTCCAAGAGCCATCGTTTGTTTTGTGGGAGGGGTGTAGTTTCATTTTTGGAGGTGATTCGCGCGTTCTCCATTGTCGCAATACCAGGCATCCATTCATCCATGTCGGCCAACTGCACCAAAGATGGCCGATGTTCTACTTCTTTTCCGTCTGGTCCCTCCTGGTCCGCTACCTTCGACCGCAATGTCATGCGTAGCATGGCGGCCGTGGTGGGTAGGGAAACCCGCGCCTTCTTTAACCTTGGCAACTTCACGGACAATGGACGGAATCTTGGTTGCATGCGCATAGTCCGAGCAGTTGGTGCCCAACTTCCCAATCCAGATACCCAAGAAGTCCTTGCTTCTTATTGAGAGGGAGCTTTCTACTGGATGAAAAGTGAGCATTTTTTTGTTCTCGGGGGACGAGTTAAGAAACCCGTGAATGGAGGCCAGCAGTGTTTAGAAGGTGCTTTTAGGGGGAAAAACGTGACATATGAGTCATTCCCCAAACTGTGAAGCTCCATCCGTGCTACATGACATCTTGCAGTGTACGCTTCTAGTGTATGCTGAAGACTTGTTGCTGGGAATCAGTACACCATAAGTACTCTGTCAGAGCCGAGCTCGACAGTTCTCCATATGTAAAGACTAGTGAACCAAAGGCCACGCTGTAGCATTTGAAGCTATTTTTGGCAGTGCTTTTGGAGAGGAATGGACGGATCATCCTGTATATCACAAGATCCACAGATCCATTTACTGACAGTCACCCGACACCAGAAACCAGAGGTCAATCGGGTATGCACTCGTTGCATTGGCTCAAGTGGAAAAAAGAGCGTGAGCGAGTACAGTTGCTCTTCATGGTAGCGGAGCCATGGCATCTTTACCAGATCCAGGATCTCCTGCAGTTGAAACTGGGACATCAGTTAGCGCTGAGCGTTTCCAAGGTTTGGAACAGCAAGTGTCCAGTTTAGCTACCATGGCTAGATCCTTGCAAGATGCTATCGGTTCGTTGGTACTTGCAGTAGAAGCATTGACCACACGTGTGAATACGCCACCACCTGTGTATGATGCACTTGAGTCAGGACCACCAGCACCAATGGTTCCTTCACCAGATGGTTTGCAATTGCCCATCCCACCTTCCGGAAGTCCACGAGATAGGAATGTTGACCCGTTGCAAGTTCAGGACCCATGGCAGAATTTCCGTCGTAATGTTCAAGACACGCCTTTTAATAATCCTGACCCAGCAAATGTCAATCTTCCTCCACCAGGGATGCAGCAGTCACCAACCGCACTTCGAGATGCTGTTGAAGTGTACAAAGGAAAGGAAGACTTGAATCCTTTCCGACGAAGTGAAAAATGGATGCCAGCTTATCCAGTTCCCCAACATGACAAATGGACCACACGACCAGAAGAAGTAGAGGGGTTCATTAGCTACATCCAAGAGCTAGCTTCATGGGCTGGATTAGGAGACAATGAATGGCCACGAGAGATCCTTTGGCCCCTTCGAAGTCCATCAGTGATTACCTGGAATCAGATGAATGCAGCACAGATTACCAGGTCCACTCGGTTACTTTCGATTTTGAAGCAAGTGTTTTCCGGTCATGCTAGGGCAAGCTTGATTTTGGGAAACTATGAATCGTCACAAAACCGAATGAACTGTTGTGGCTATGAGGGAGTTCGTTTGCTTTCACGAGAGTTTGGAATCAAGACCAGAACAGAATTGTTGTTCTTTCGCAATCGAATCACCAGTGGAACTTTCAAGTGTGCCACCATTCCCGAGACCGTTCGACAGATCCAGCATGAGTTGTTTAAGTTTGCACGCATTCAACAATTGGTTGATCCAAGTGTGAACAGTCAACAACTGGAAATCATGGAAGCTGACCAGATTTTGATTCTTCTTCGATCGTTGCCAGATGCTTGTCGTCAATGGCTTGTTCTCAATGTTGCGCAGGAAAGCTTTCAGGCATACTCAGATGCAGCTCTGAGGTACGAAGCGCAGCAGAGAGCATGGTCAGAGTTGAACCACAAGCCCATTGCACCGTTCAAGGAGAAAGGTAAAGGCAAAGGTGACAAAGGCAAAAGCAAAGGTAAAGGTAAGAGCAAGAATAATGAGCACCAGACCGAGAAGACTGAGACCCGTTCGTGCTTTGAATGTGGAAAGACAGGCCACCTTTCCAAAGATTGCCCCCAGAGATTGCAGAAGTCGATTGATGGCAAGAGCAAAGGCAAAGGAAAAGGTAAAGATAAAGGAAAAGGCAAATCCAAAGGTAAGAAAGGTAAGCGAGCAGCAGAGTTTTCCGAATCAGATGCCTCGTATGATGCATATGAAGATGATGATGCATGGTCAGAAGCAGATGAAGGAGGTCGTCTTGCAACGTTGATTGTAGGAACTCATACATGTGCCAAGGTTGTTGAACCAAAAGAGAAGAAGTCGAGCACATTGTTTGGACGATGGTTTCGTTGCATGTTCACCATCCTGTCATTGTTTTTGACATGTCTCATGATGCATTTGTGTCATCGGTATCGGTATTTCGGACAAGAGTGTTTCCATCCATTCTTTTCGTCGGCCACGGAAACTCCGATCGAAGCAGGGTATTGGCTTGTTGATTCAGGAGCTTCACGAACTGTTGTGAGTTCAGATGCATTAAGTGCATATCGCATCATTCGTGAACGATGTCTTGACAACCCACTTTCGTTCCAGACAGCGAGTGGTGATGCCATCCATGTTTCGAGAGAAGTGTTCATCGAAGTTTACTTCCGAACTCAGGTTGATTTCCAGACGGAGTATGAGAAGTGCAAGACCTTGCGCTATGAGCTTCGATGTGTCGTGGCACCAGTGCAGCATAATCTCCTTTCCGTGACGCAACTTGTGGGAAAGGGAGCTAAGTTCGAGATGAGTGGAGATGGAACATTCATCATCCTAGATGAACGAAAACAATTGATTTGCGATGTTTGGTCCGGTGTACCATGGCTTCATGCTAGTCTCAGAAATAAAGCAGTTGACATGCCTGCAGACATGGAAATAGATTCAGAAGGTTCGCAAGATACTATGCATGTTGACAAGCTGTCTAGCAGCCTCGCTTCGCCGACCGATTCGATCGCTATCAAATACTTGCCTAGTGCATTGAAGCAGAAACCAAAGATGCATGCAAGTGTTCTGTTAGGTGAAGAGGAATTTTTCAAAGCTTTGGAAGAAGAATACCCTCCACATGAGGAAGACATGGAAGACCACCCCATTCCAGCAGACTTCGAAGATGAGGAATCATCCAAAGTTGAGAAGACCCCAGAGTTCCCATCCGATTTGAAGCTGTTGAAGAAACGTGAGGAAGAAGAGCTTGTTCTCCACCGACTGCGAGGACACACGCCATTCGATGCCAGATGCATGGATTGCAAGTTGTCCAGGTCTGTCATGAGACATCCTAGAAGCAAAGAAAGTCGCAGTTCATTATTGGTACAGGCTGATTTCTTTTTCATTGGGGATTACAAATTCCTAGCTTTGTCAGAAGTGATGACTGGGCTGATTGGTTGTGCATTATGTGCCGGTGAAACAAACACGGACATTCGTGCATTTTTCAACCAGTTAGGATTGTTGGTTATGTCACCATCGGAAGCACATCTTGCGGTAGAGGTCAGAACAGATGCCGAGAAAGCAGTTGCTTCGATTTTGAAACGAGCCAACCTTCCTGTTCCCCTTCACATAAATGAAGCGGCGCCACAAAGTCACCAAACGGTAGGACATTGTGAGAGGACCGTTCGTCGTTTCAAAGAGATGATCAGTTGTTTGCAAGCAGAATTTGCGGAGTCACGGATTTGTCTTGAAAGAGACCAAAGAGGCATACCGAGCAGTGACATGTTATGTAGCCCAAACACACAACCACTTTGGCATTGGCAGTGATTTCGGAAATCGTCGATCGCCAATCCAGTTGGTCATTCAAAGAGACTGCACATTGCCCACATCCACCATGTTCGGAGCAATCGTGTTTGCAAAAGTGAGTGATCACATGGAAGGACTAGTAGAAGAAGGTTCCAGATTTGTTTTGGGTGCATACATGCATATTGCATTCGGTAGCTTTGCGCATGAAGTGTCAGTCAAATGCAAAGATGGAACAGTCAAGCAGTTCAAGACTGAAGTTCGTCCTTTGAACAAGATTTGTTGGGAGTGTTCGTATTGTCCTGACATTCTCGCAAAGGCGACAGATGATGATGCACCTGCCGGAGAGCTGGACGTCAAGGATTTGCAAGATCCTGTTCATCTGCACGTGCCTGTGTATGATCGGACAAAGTTGTTGCCACCTCCGATCGCTTGGTTGAGGTCAGAAGGTTTGACTAAGGACTGTAAAGCGTGTGATGCTATTCGAACCAAGGGTACTAGAAAAGGACATACACATAGCAGAGGATGCTTTCGTCGATATACTGACTGGGTTAAAGCACAACAAGAGAAGTTTGAGGGAAAGCCTGAAGCGGCCAAGAAATCCAGTCGAGCTGAATTGGAAGCCAAACCAAAAGATGGTTCAGTTCCGAAGATGGTAGTTCCTCCAGATGCGAAGCCATTTCGACCATCAATACCTGTTTCCTCCCCGGATCATCCAACCAAAGGTCTTAGGTATGAGAGTAAGCGTCCGCCTGGTTCGCTTCAGCCTCCAACAGTGGTTGAACAGTCACCTGAGACACCTTCTCTGCCTAGTGTACCACCTCCAGTGATTTTGCCAGAAGAAGATGTTCGGATGGATCGGGATGGGGAAGACGAGTCCGAGCCCAATCGCGTGATCGATGTCGAAATGGAACCAGCGCCATTTCCACCACTTCGAGCTGACTCAGAATATGAACCAACTGAGCCTCCAGAGGATATGGCAGTTGACCCAGAGCCAGATGACATGGATATTGGAATGTTTCTTTGTCCACCGCCAGAGCATTCAGGTGCAAGTCACGGCATTCTGTTTCCAATCTTTGTGCCGAAAGGAAAGGACTTAGATGGAGTTCGTGCGTCGAAGTTTTCATTGTGTGGGACAGACATCTTTTTGATCGAACCGTCGCAAGCAGTGTCAGAAGATGGTATGACCAATTTCACTGTTGAACAGGCCATCAGAGGTCGGGAAACAGAGTTGACAGCCATGCATGATCTAGATGTAGGCGATGTTTTGGGAGAGGAGGAAGCCCTTGCATTGTGCGCTTCTCGAGGCACTCAGGCCATTCCATGCAGATGGGTTCTAACAGAGAAAGAATCCAAAGGGGAGTTGATTTGCAGGGCACGATGTGTTGCTCAGCAGATTGCTAGGCTTGAGCCGTCGGC